GTCGGGGCGGGTAGGCGCGAGATCACTTCCATCCTCTGAGCGTCTGGGGCTCTACCGTCAGGTCCTAACGACAAGCCAAGGTACTTGACGTGTGTCTGCACCAGTTGTGCTTTTTGACGGCTGGCCTTGAAGCCAGTGTCTCTGATCAGGGCAAGGACTTCCCTGGTAATGTCAGTTACTTCCTCAACAGTGGGGGCGTGGACAAGCACGTCGTCAACATAAGAGAGAACTTGCTTTCGCGACTCGGGTCTCAGGCACTCCCACATCTGTACCACGTGTGCATGGCAGATGCTGGGGCTGGAGTGAAAACCCTGGGGAGTCCGTTTGAAAGCATACTGTTGTCCTCTGAATGTGAAGGCGAACTTGTACCAGCAAGACTCGTGGAGCCTGATAGAGTGGAACGCATTAGCCAAATCAATCACACTGTAATAGCGGGATCCTGCGGCAATGGCGGCCAGGATCTCGTTATACTTGGCAACAACTGGGGCTACGGCTGGCGTAATTTTGTTCAAAGATCTGTAATCAACGGTCATCCTCCACATGACTCCATCCGCTTTCAGGACTGGCCAGAGCGGAGAGTTACAAATGGATTGCATTGGTGTAACGACATCCCAATGCAAAAGTCCCTTTATGGTTTTGGCAATACCTTCCTCGGCTTCGGTCGGGTATTTGTATTGCCGTTGCGGCTTCGGATCAGGTCCTGTGATCAGCACGCATGCATTTTTGACAGTGCCACACTCGGCTTTGTCCTTCACCCATACTTCGGGAAACTCCTTTTCCCATGGGTCCTGGACAATTGAGGCTATTGGTAGGGGTGCTTTCAAAGCAGCACAGCGGTGAATCGCATTGATCTCGGCAGGACCGCCTGGGATCTGCCACAAAAAGCCATTGGCAAGATCAATGGTCAGGGCGTGCGCCTTGAAAAAGGGGGCCCCCAGAATGCCATTGTCCTCTCCCTGGTTTGTGCAGGCTGATACCGTAGTGGACAAAGTTCCGATGGAGATTGGAACTTGTCTCCACACTTCAGCAGTACGCTCGCCTCCTGCAAAACCAGAAAGGGAAACGGTGTCCTGGCTGGGGAGGCCTTCTCGGGCCAGATGGGGGTGGAGGACATTGGTGGCTGCGCCTGTGTCGACAAGCAGATTTGCAGGGGTTCTATTCCTGGGAGCTCCTATCCCTGCTTTCACGGTTGGTCTTCCCCAATGATCAGGGTGGAGGTGTGCTACCACACCCTGGGGAAGACGCCTGCGTCCCGGGCGTCCCTAGTCCTCCTGCGTCGGACTACCCTGTTGAGGGTGTGCCATCGCAGGATGGACTTCCGACACCGGGAGGCGTGGTTGGTCAGACAGAGAGAGGGTCTGCAAAAGGTACGAATCAGGTTTTCCGTTGAAAAGGTCCATGTTGTATCCACTCTCCCTCAGCTTCATCCAAGCATGCCACCGCAACGGGTCCATGCCCGGTGGCGGGCCCTTGCTTCCCTGGTCCACTCGTGGCGTGCCCTGATAAGCGGGGGGGGCATCGCCGGCGGAAGCGGGGGTGGTGGTGGTGGCAGTGCCATCTGTTGCTGTTGATGGTAGAAGGATGGGGGTGGGGGCAGAGGTGGTGCCTGAAGCGTAGGCGGCGGTTGGTGGTAGGATGGAAGGGGTGGAGGCGGGGTATAGGTGGGCATCTGCGAGGAGGGGCACTCTGCGACGGGGTGCGTTTTCCCTGGTCCCTGACCGGCCTGTCCCTTTCCTTTACCAAAGACACGTCCTCGGGGTTTCTTCCCCTGATTGTATTGGGCCGCCTTCCCCGCAGCATGATCCTGGGAGGCGGAAGCTGAAGACTGAGCGCCGTGGTTGGCGTACGTCACCTCCAGAATGGAGGGGTCTTCGTCTTTAGCATTCCTCCTATGATTCTTGGGGGGCTTTAGCGCACCAGCACTTCTCATGGCGGTAGATATTCTCCTAATGCGATTCCTCAACTCCGCCCATGTCTCTCTCTGTGGATCGTCCATTTGAAGATACTGTTTGGCCTGTTGGCTAAGAGATCCATGCCTCTCCCGCGACACGAGTCAGGTTCCCGGAAGAGATTGCTGAATTTATGTCAGCAAGGGTAGTCCCAGTGGCACACTTACGCGCCAACATGGTGAGATCCTCACCTTCCAGCCCTGCATAAGAGGTGGTTGCCGTGGTGACCCACTGCACAAAATTCTTTTCGGTCAATGAACCTAGCTCTTCAGCAACGGCTTTGCACTCCTCTTGCCGCCATGGGCGATTCTCCACAACAGTCTTAGTGCGTGGCCTGTTGTTGTTTATAGTCACCGTTCTATTGGTGATGCTCACCGGATTAACCGGAATGGGTTCCATCGAATCCGAATCGTCCTCCGACTGTGAGGCTGGATCCTGATAGAGATCCAGGTCATCCTGCTCAGTAGAGCCGTCAGGATGCACGACAGAGCTAGCAGTCTGGGGGGTCCTACTTCTCTCTTTG